ACTATTTATAGTTATCTGGTTATAATTAACTAGTGGTGCAAATTAAAAATATTCCAACAATATATATAATTGTTTATTTAAATATATAATTATATAAAATTTAAATTTCAAATTATTATCATCACAAAAATGTTATACTTTATTGCAAAGTGCTATAATATAAGTAATAATGATTATATATATAGGATTCAATTATTGATTAGAAATCAATTATGGTAATTTAATCATTAATTGAAGTTTTTAGAATTAATTCTCATTCCTAATTGAAAAGCATAAGTACTCTTTCTTGAACAATAGGTTTGCTGATGAGTCTTTTAATGTTTAAAAGACTTATTACACTTTTAATATCTAAAAAGATTATAAATATTTAAACTAATTAATCTTTTAAAATACTTTAAAGAGAGATCATGCTTTAATTACTTTAAAGCATTTAAAGCATTAAAAGTATTAAAAACAATTAAAGCATTATGCTCTTTAAAGGATTATATCCTTACTCAGTACATTATTATTAATTAACTAAGTAAAATTTTATAATAAAAGTTCTAAAAAATTTTCTCCGTAATATGCATTGAATTAACTGAGTAAGATAATGTTGTACTCAGTATAGTTCGATAATTAATTAAGTAATACTGAGCAAGACTTGTTCAGATTTTTCTAAACTATAATATGATGATCATGATATAATACTTTTTAATAATTGCTATTATCATTACAATATTATTGTTAATGCATAAGTAGTTACTATTTACTTAATAAAAATAATACTGAAAAATTTCAAATAGTTAACTTCGACAATGAAGAGAAACTTAATAAAAATTAAGATTTTTTCAACTTTAAATGGGGAATTATTCAAAATCCTTGTGGTATTCGATACTAAAAACTAGATTCATAGTAACTTTTAGTGATAAAGACTACTTTACAAAATTATTTACCTTTTACTTGTTATTTTCAAATACTTTATAATATCTTTAAAAAAGATATTTGGAATTACTGATACCTTTTCAGTTTAATATCAATTATTATTAACTAGAATTACTAAATTATTTATAGTATTATATTTAAACTATAGATAGTTTTATAGATTAATAAAGCTAAAATAGTTATACAAGTTTAAATTATTCTTTAACTGAACAAATAGTTTTATCAAAGATTCTTTTTGAAATTTATAAAATAAGTATGAATGTCTTGTGTATATATAATATACGAACAAATCTATATATTTTATATAGACATTTATTATATAATAATTAGTAAGATCAGTAAATTTATCAATTGATTATACATATATATTAATTTACTTTAAGTAAATCTGATTTTTTTATCTTTCGCTTATTCTTTTCTTAATTATGGAACCTATATATATTAAATACGATAGTAATAATATAAATACTGATAATTATGAACCTACTATTAATTATGAATCTAATGATGATTATGAATTCAATGATGATGAATCTATTTACAAAGAGTCAGATATAGAAATTCCAGTTGCTGATTTAACAGAACCAAATTCATATTCACCTTTTGATAATTATGAAGTTATTGCTACTCAATCAGTAAGTATTTAATATATATTTAATTTATAATATTGATATAATAAAATTAATTAAAAATTTTTTATTTATTAAGTCTAAATTAGTTAACAATAATATGAACTCTAACTATGATAACGATTCATTAATTAATTTAATTACTGAAAATTTAAGAGTTGAAGAGATTAGATACTCTGCTTTGCCAATAGAATATCTACCTACTTCAGAGCAAGGTATTGCAATTGTATTTAATGTAGAGTCTTAGGAATCCTATGATGCTTTTTTTGATAATATATGTATATACATATTATTAAGTTTAATATTAATTTAAAAATTATGTAATATACTTTTTAAGCTATTTTTATTTTAGATGTAATATCAAAGAGGCCGTCCTAGTGGAGGTAGTAATATAAAAGTTTGGTGTACTTTTTTAGACTATGATGTACATAAATACTATTCTACTTGTCAAGGTATTAAACAATATGTATTTGCAAGTGATGAAATTCAAAATACTTTATACAAAGAAGTTAATATAGATACCGATCTTTATTAAGAAGAAAGTATAGCTTTAAATAATTAAAAATCTATTGAAATGCAAACATATATGTAAGTACTATATATATTTATAATTATATTTGTTTATATAATAATTGAATAAATTAATAATTTTATTTATTTTTTATATTTAGCAAATATCTTGCTATAATTGAATTGAAATGTCCTTTTAATAATTATAATTGTAAAGGAATTTTTGTTGTACAAAAATGCAACAAACATAATAATTAAACTACTGAAAGCTGGTTTGTTGGATATAGCTAATGGTGAGACAAAAATGGTAATAGAAGCCATTTTTTTCATAAATTAAAAAATAATATCAATATTAGTTTATTAAAATGATTATTTAATAGTGAAACTGTAAGTATATATTATACTGTAATTTAATTTATTATTTATTTTTTTAAAAAAATATTTAATTATTATAAAATTAATATTTTTAGTTTAAACCTACAAGTGAAATAACATCATGTTTATTAGTATTATCATCTAATTCTAAAAGAAAAACATGTGGTAAATATAATTATTTAAATTATATTATTATTAAAATAAATATATATTAATTATTTTTAATTTAGAGTTTTTACATCATCATTCAGATTGTACAATTCAAGAAGGATCTATAATTAAATATCAATGTGATATAAAATATTATAAAATTGTACCATATGATATTAAAAAATGCCCTTATGTAATTCTTATTAGTAAAGGAATACATAAATACC